CAGATACTTATCGTGTGAGTTAGCAAAGCTTTTCTTCGAGGTCGTTAGAAGCGGGGTCGGTCGTACCCTCGATAAATTTGAGGGCAAATCAGATGATCTTGTTCGAACTTCGATTCTCGATATCGAGCTTAGTCATATTTGTAACTTCAATTTCTTACGCAGGTACCGAGCCTCGATCTATTATTCCAGATGCCTCGATCAAGCATAGAGTCCGGTTCTACCCATATACAACAATACCTTTACATTTTTTTACATTGTAACTTTGGAAGACAAAGAATCAAACAATCAAGACTGAATAATGAAAATAATTAAACTTACAAAATAGATGTAATAAAAATGATCATCTGATCCGTGGAAGATGAGAAACAAATAATTAAGACTAATTAAGATAATTAAACTTACAAATTCAGCCTACAAAACTCATGAAATATAATAATCATCTCTCCCTTTTTTTGCTCTAAGGATAAAATCGTCACTTAATGTTTAAAGGATATTTTGGTAAAACAACTTCACCTAAAAGTCTTCACGCTTATAATATAGTATAGGCCAAATACCTAGACATCCCCTTAAACTTGACTCTAGTTTTCATTTTAACACCTTAACTAAAGCTTGTACCTATCAAACACTTCAACGTTATATAAATTATGCCTATTGAACACGTCTGATGATGTGGCAAAAAGAGTGTGTCTCACCTCTCTTTAGACGTGTGAAGTAATACCATAATCATATTTTTTTTCTTTTGTTTTATTTAAGAAAAGCATAGTTTTACATTCTTCTTCCTCCTCCTCTCCGAGCCACCATCCCCTTTATCATTTCCTCACACCGACCAGAAAACTCCTTCACGCCACAAAAAATACTATAAAATTCAGCAGCGACGACTACAGATTAAATGCCCATTTCAGTAGTTTTAATGAAAAAAATAAACTGCACCGTGAAATTCATTAGTTAAATTGTGAGCAGATGGCCTGAGACAGTCAAAATGAACTGCACCGTAAATCCCGAGACAACAGTGGTGGCAGCAGTTGCAGTCACCTCTTGATGGTGGTATTTTTTGCTCGAACTTTGCGGCTTCTTTTTTGGAGAAATTTTACTTTAATTGATGTCTTCTTCCTCTTGAAATTCGTTCAATAGATTGGATCTCGGATTCTTTAGACGCCATGTTTGAATGCTTGGAAGTTTCTTTTAGATTGAAGTTTTAGGAATATTAGATTAACAGTATGATCATTTTGCTTCTCGGTTTAACTGGAGAAGATAGTGTCCATGGCGGCTATTGGTGGAAGGTAATAGAACCGGTGGGGAAATGCGGAGAAGACGATGGAATTGTTGGGGGAATTTATGTATAAAATAAATCTTTTTTGTTTTCAAAACTTCTTTTTGACTATTTGGGCCCAAATGCCACGTGTCTCCCTCTTATTTGTCATTTTGCTAAGTCATTCATGTGTGAAGTACACGCACCTTATTGTTTTTACTGATTATGAGTAAAGTGTTTAATAGATCCACTTTATATAATATTAAAGTATTCAATAGAAAAAACGCTAAGTTAAAGTGTCAAAATGAAAACTGGAGCAAAGTTTAAGGGATCGTACACATATTTGGCCTATAGTATATGATATATCTTTTACACTATAACATGTGAGATTCATCTTTATTTTCAAATTTCAAAGGTTTGTTTTAGTATTTGGTTAAAGTTAAAAATGTGTAGTTGAAGTTGAAAGAAAGTATTTGAAAGTTAAAATTGAGTTTGAATATAAATTTCATTTGAACAAAAATTTACAATTTTATGATGAAATCCATAAAATAGTTCACTTGACATATTCACTCAAATCTTATTTCAAATTCAAATCTTTATTTCAAGTTAAATAATAAAAACATATAAAAACTTTAATTTGCATTTAATGTCTCATTATTTTTCAATGATTTTAAAAGTTCTATGCACTTATGAAGAAAAAATATCTACACTATCAAATTATTTACATAGATTACATAATATTTATATAACCATTATTAATAATAATTTGTTAAAAACAATAACTAACTTACTTATTTTTGCATTAATATATTAAAAATATTTACCCAATCATATAATTTATAAAGTAAGTATATAAAATATATTAGGATAAACATTAATTATTAACAAATTTAAAATGGTAATTAATCTAATTCTTTGACCAGTATCGTAGCATGTTAAATGCTTTAAAGAACCCTTTTTGGCAGTGAGGACACACTTACAAAAGTGGACATTTGGGTCACTGAAACAAAATTTCTCTCTCTCTCTCTCCGCCGCAGCTGCCGTGTGCCACCGCCCGTCACCATCTCGCCGGCCAATTTCCCGGTCAGGTTCAATTTTTTTATTTGTGCTTCAATGCTTTGCAATTCTTGAGAATTAAAAGGGAAAAATCACACACACACACACACACACACATATATATATATAAACTGGCTGCTTGTTTCTACGAATAAAGTTTTCATTTTATGTTTCACGTTTTTTTTTTTTGGGAGTTTAGTTCTGTTTTGGGGATTTTCTTGGTGAGTGTTTGGATTTGGTTTTGGGAGTATTGATATTAAGATTCTTGTGGAACAAAAATTGTTTTGTGTTTTGATTCATTAAAAAATGATATGGGTAAGAAGAAAAAACAATTGATTTTCTATAGAATCAATTTTTTTTGGTGACCTGGTTATATGCATTACAATTTTTGCTACGTACTTGAGCTAAATTTCGAGTTGAAATTTTAGGTAGAGAAATGAAAAATGTTTGAACTTAATAATAATTATAGTATGTTTTATTATCATGAAGTGATACACTTCGTATTAGAAGATTTAACTCCCAGTATTACTATTGGGAGAAGTAGTTTCCCAGTTTCCCTTGTTGAAGTTTAATGGGAACTTGAATTGCTCCTCTTTTTGTATCTTTAACTCAAGATGATGATCAAATTCTTGAAATTGATTACCAAAATAAACAGGTTTAGTTATAAGAGCAACTTGTGATGTGTGGGTTAGGCGCTCGTCCAGGAGCGGATGCAACATAGGAGTGTCGAGTTCAACTGAACCCAGTACGTTCGACGAGGAACATAAATTTATGTGTAAAGATTCACTAAAATTACAAAAACTAGTAGATATGAACTCATAACTTTAAAAATACAATGAGCTCGATGCTAAGAATATTGGAAGTTGAACCCATAAAGTCCAAATCTTAAATCTGCCTCGGCGCACGTCACTGATTCAAACCTTGCCGTAGACTAAAGTCAGATATTTAAGTGGTGAAGGATAGAGGGGCCGACTCATTATCCATCAAGTTTCTGACCGTGCACCATTGGCCCTCGGGAGTTTCTTCTTATCAAAAAAAGGAAAAAAAGAAAGAAAAGAATCTGATACTTGATTAGCACACCTTTCCTTCTACTTGCATTGAAAACTCTTTCCATTTGCTGTTAGCTTCATATCTGCTTGAGCAAATTCTGAGTCTATTGCTGATTCTGCATTAGGTTAACCAAAGTAACACCTGTTGTGTTGCTTCTCAGATCCCAAAGATGACAAAGGAAACGGCAATGTCATCTACTACTGTTTCAATTTTCGGAAAAGAGATCAATATAGAAGGTGAATCTCTCAATAAGTAGGATGGTAAAACGCTTGTTCCTTTATTATTTACCCCTAAATGATTCATCTATTATTTTTCAGTTCGTGAAGAAAAAATCTATTCAGAAGGTGAATCTATCAACAAGTTGGACGATGATGCGCTCATTCAGATTCTTTGTTGGTTACCCCTAAAAGATGCAGCAAGAACAAGTGTTCTCTCACGTAGATGGAGGTACTTATGGCGCAGTTCACTCATGCCACCATTGAATCCGTTGTAAATTTCCATCAAGGATTGAATGCAAGTACCCCCGACTCATAAAGTAAGTATTCTTGCGTGAATTTTCTAGTCCTTTTGTCCTAAGCCTTTTCCTGATTCTATGGACTATTATATATATTTTGCCCATCAAGAACCAAGTTAAAAGCTTGTTTTACAACTCTGATTGGGATACAAATTCTTCCATTCAAGAAGTGCTTTTATTTGATTTATTATTTCTTGATCTTACTGGTTTAGATGATAACGAGGAAGAAGTTGAAAACCTTTTATCAAATTTGCAATATCTTGAACATTTATGCATAAGTGATATGTCTCTGAAGATTTAAAAGCACACAACTCATTTCTGAAGTCCTTGGTGCTCCCCCTTTAAAGTGAATTGTGATACTGTGATCCAAGTGAATCGTCTTTTACATTCATTGAATTACCCTGTGATATTCAATTTCCAAGCATTCCATTGTCAAGTTAGTCTTCTAATATGTATAGTGGTTTCAAGCCTCGCTCTCAACTCGTCTTGCAGTGATTATGATTGAGCTTGATTTACTCAACGATGCAATTAATTACTAGTAGACCTTCTATCGTTCTTGATTAGGGCATTTCCTGCAGTTTTCCAGAAAGGAAAATAAACTGAGAAAAAAACATCGCGTAACATTTTAAAGCATTGCATTACAGCTTTTCTTGTTTTTTTTTAACCTATATGTATCAATTGTCAAGATGATTTAACCTATGGGAGCCAGCCTTTTGACGTGGTCATCTGAAATTATTTTTTTACCCTTTTGCATTGCAGTGAATTTTGTGACAGACGAGTATAGAACAAATGCTGTGAAGATCATATATAAAGATGAAGAAAATCAAAGAGAAGGCAGAGAAGCTAGCAAAGTTACCTCTATTTTCAATGTTATAGACTTACAAAAGTTTGGAGCAGCACAGTGTTAGACTTTTTACCGTGCATAACGTGTCATTGGGTTTTAAACTGTAATCAAAGCATTCATTCATTTTGGAGATATGTTTAGCAAAAAACAGTGAAATGCATATTTGCTATCCCTTAGTCCTAGTTGAATAAATGTGCAAAAACATAAACATATTTGTCAACAATAACAACATATAATCCCACAAGTGGGGTAGATGGTGGGGTGGACACATACCTTAGCAAAGATAATGTTTTCTATAGATCCTTGCCACAAAAGGAAGAAGAAAATAAAGGAATATAAGAAACAACATTAGTACAAAAATTGATGAATAAGGAAATACTAGAATAATAATAATAGCATTGATAAGGAGAAGAGGGAGCACATAACAATAAAAGAGAGAGAAATACGCTCGACTACTTACCAACATCCATGGCCTCCTATCTAAGTTCCTTTTAAGGTAGAGGAACGTCTAAGAGAAAGATAAAGAAAACATAAAGATCTAGTGAAAATTTAAAACCCAGTACCTTAGTAAAGATACTGTTTTCTATAGAAAAGGAAGAAGAAAATAAAGGAATATAAGAAACAACATTAGTACAAAAATTGATGATTAAGGATATAATAATAATAATAATAATAATAATAATAATAATAATAATAGCACTGATACGGAGAAGAGGGAGCACATAACATGCTATAAACTAGAACCACACTCCATCACAGAAGATAGAGAAACCGCTCGACTACTTACTAACGTACATGCCCTCCTATTTAAGTCCCTTTTTAAGGTAGAGGAACGTCTAAGAGAAAGATAAAGAAAACATTAGTTTATATCAGTGAACGGCCTTATCAGTGAGTTACTACTCAATTCTCACTAAATTCGAATTTCATAAATTCATGAAACATTACTGTTATCTGCTTCCCTGTTCTCTACTATTGTAGGGCAAGTAATTGGTTTGATATAAACACCGATACTTTCAAGATAATGAATATGAGTTGTGCCATGAAATCCACCAAAAGATGCATCTGTTCCAAACTTGAAATCAAACTCAATATCACAACTTTCATGGCTTCCAAAAGGTCCATAAGTAGCTTTGTTTGTACCAAATGTGATTGATGTCACATAAGTAGCAGGTTGAATAACTATAGGACGAAAATCCACATAGTAACCACGTATCCAAGTGAGAAACTCGGAGGGATAATCAAGTTTAATCTGCAATAAAAAAATCATGAGTTTAAGTTATATACACTGACGATATAAAAATATGTATACAATCAGGTCACTTACGAGGCTATGACATGTATTTGAAAAAAAAATCTAGATTTTCGCTTTTCCTTAACTTATCCGTTTGGATTTTAGAAACTTTCAAAAAATGAAAACTTATTTTTTTTAGAGGAGACTTTAAATTTTAAAAACTAAACCAAAATTTACGAAAATAAAAACAGTTAAAAATGTAGATTTCCACCAAACAATTGCACTTTCACACAATATTTTCTAAGAATCTTTTCACACAATACTTCGGAAAAATGTCTTCTGTCGTACGAAACACATCAAATTCTCAAATTGTAGTTGTGAGACATATTAATGTGTAAAATTTTCAGAAATAGGTTCAGGAAATATTTGATATAGGGCAGCCTGTGCATAAGACATCCAACATAGGATCCCGAAAAGGGCCGTACATAAGAGATGTGATGTAGATATCATCAGTGACTTGCTTTCACGACTCAAAATTCGTGAAAATATAAGGAAAGAAAATACAACAACAAGAACAACCCAGTGTAATTTTATTAGTGGGGTCTAAAAAGGATAATGTGTACGCAAATCTTAGCCCTACCGTATGTTAGAGAGGCCATTTCCGGTAAACCCTCGGTTCCCTCTCTCCAAAAACTCACCGCATTTCTCTTGGATGACTCGAACTCACAACCTCTTCATATAAAAATTGAGAACATATAAAATATAATAATAAACTTAAAAACTCACTGTATCAAATCTTAAGCCTCCATCACCACCATGTTTATTGGACAAGACAAAGGATCCATTTTTGATGTACAGAAACTGAATGAAGTTCACTCTTCTACCATGAGATATAAAAATCTTGGCAACTTTATCTTCCTCATCATCCCATATTTCACCATTCAATCCAATAAATGGGCAAACCTTAATCATGATTATGATTTCTTATGTTTAATTAGTGGTAGAAAATATTGTTTGTGGAAGGGAAAGATAAAATATATGTTCAAAGAACCTTGTGTATTTATATTGTTAATATAAAGTATATGTATTGATATTGTAAAAAAGTGTTTTTAACATGCTATGACTTTTGGGAACTTTTCAAATTTTAAATGTCACTTTTCAAATTTGAAATACTACCCACTTTCCTCGGCAATAGAAAAAGGAAAACTAAGGTGGAAAAAAGGAGGACAAAAAGTAAATGAGGACCCCTTTGTCAATAAAAATCAAAAATTTGTTTGTCCATCAAGAAAATGAGTTTTTAAAAATTTTCAAAAATTTGTTTTTTCACTCACAAGATTCCAATATTTTTTAAGTTCAAACATAATTTTAAATTCTAAATACTATTTTTTTTCAAAAATTACAATTTTTATGTCCAAACGCCTACTAAAAAACATTTAAACAAAGAAAGAAAGAAAGAAAGAAAGAAAGGTAGCAATTCTGATTATACTTGTACATATTTCCTTTGGTAAATAATATACTTTACTTACAAAAAAAAAAAGGTAGCAATGCTAATCACCAGCTATTATACCAAAGATATTGCAATATTTTGTATTTATTGCTTTTATTGTGATCCTGATTTCCTATCAATCAAGAATTCTAATTTGTATATTCTCTTTTCTATTTTGAGCCATTTGCTCCTCTAATCTTGTATATACAACTACTGTGATGAAAAATACAAAAAGATATTGTAAAGTTAAATTAGATTAGATTAATTTAATATTATAAAATTAAAATTTAGATATTCAAAAATTATACATAAAATACTATAATTTGCAATTCTTCTCGTATCAATATGGTAAAAAAAAAATATTGATAAAAGTTCATATATTTGAATCTCGAGAAGTCAGACGTGACAAGTATTTTGCGACGGAGAAATAATGCTAAAAGAAGCTTTGTAGTTTATTCTGAATTAGAAACATAAAAATAATTGCACAATAAGGGGTCACTATTATGTATCTCAACAACAAGAAAAGAATATCAAGTAATAACAATTGTACATTATTCTAACCTGCGAAGGAATGTTTTTATAATAAACAACATTAAACATTTCTTCATAAAAAGGAAAAGAACTAATTCACCTCGTTGAAGTAAATTCCAAATCTCAAATTCACGTTCAAGAAAGGCATAAATTAATGGAAAAAAGTAGTATAATAAGGTCACCTAAAGATTAATTCACAACTTAATTGTCTTTCTTTGGTTATTTTTTTGGGGCCAAGAAAATTATTTTCTCTTCAGTAAATTACTTCTGTAAAAGGCATATATATAATATGGCATTCAAAATTGAAACTGTGGCAAATAGTAAATTGAAAGGAGCAAAATGGGATGATGTTGATCAAGGTGATATTGCAATGATTTTCATTTCCTATGGAAGAACAATTAGTCATCTCCAATTTTTATATATCAAAGATGGAAACTTTTCTTTATCAGGCAGACGTGGTGATCTTATCGAACATCTGGAAATGGTAAGTTCCATTTTTATATTTTGTTTTATGAATTTTTAAAGAAAAACTCGTTTTTACGCTCAGACTTCTCTATAAGAGTCATCTTATATAACAATACGTCAATATAACAGTCGGATTTTGCTTTGAAATTATTTTTTCATATTATGTTATAATATATGTTTTATATAACAATACTTAACTGTAACACCCAAAAAATATCAAAACAACGAGGTTATTATAAAGAGATTTGATTGTATATAATTGTAAACTAGATAACCACTAATATCAAGTAACAACAATTATGATGTTGAAGGCATATCTAGACATTTTTTAGTGTACATTTGAAGAATATATTGTATTATTGTTGATAATACCCTCTTGAATTTCAACATCTATTAAAATCTCTACTATCCACAATCACAAGTCACCATCTATATTAGATTTAAATTGACACTAAAAAAAATTGGACTATTGTATTTTATGATTTCATTATCTATGTTTGGGTCGTAAAAACTCCTAAATAAGTACACAACTTATGAATCAAAGTCATTTTGGTAAACGAATCAAGTTTTTCTAGAAAAATTAGGAGACTCTTCATAAAAGATATACATAATTCTACTTCTGCCAGTAAGGAAGCGACATGATCAATGAGGATTTATATAAGAGATCCTGATTTCCTTGAGGTCAAGGCATAATTGTTAGTGTCTCGACTCTCGAGAGGAGAAAGATGATTTTACTTTACTACCGTAACACGTCTGGTCCCGTTTATCTTGTCATGTCAACATTTCTTATCTTTAACATTTTTTTTCAAAAAATTTGCAGATCAAGCTAGATTATCCCTCTGAATTTCTGATTGGAGTAAATGGTAGGCATGGACTTGGGGCAAATGGAACAGATAGAGTTTTGAAATTCATCACATTTGTGACCAACAAAAACTCATATGGACCTTTTCCAAAAAATAAACCTAATTATATGGGAAGCGAAGATACAGAATTCAACATAAATGTTGGAAATTATGGTTGGCTCAATGGATTTCATGGCACAATTTGTAATGGTCTACTTGAAAGCTTTGGAGTTTACATCAATCCAATCTCAATTAGCAAAGACATTGATTATGATAAAATAGATGTAATTGATTGCTAAGTGTACAAATTGTAAAAATATCTACTAGTTTCAATCTCAAAGCAACACATGTACTCATAATAATATGAATAATATAAAGATTTGTCAAGGTTCATTGAGAAAAGAATCAGATGTCTCGGGTCAAAACTCTAAAAAGAGAAAATCTCTCGATAGAGAGGCACTTTAATCCCTAAGTAGACTTAGTGGCGTAAATGCAAATTAGTTGAGTCAGTGAATTTCAAGTATTGGATACCCAAAGCAAACTGGTAAAGTTAAAGTTATTGCCATGTGACCAGAAGGTCACGGATTTGAGCCGTAAAAACAACCTCTTGCAGGATAAGGATGCGTACGATAAATTTTTATAGTCCGACCCTTCCCCGAACCCCACTCATAGCGGGAACTTAACGCATCGGGCTGCCCTTTGGATATCTAAAGCAAACAAAATATACATTTGATGGTAATAAGATTTTTTCTTTCTTTTTTGATTTGAAGCTTTACCAAGATTTATTTCTCAAATTTAGAAACCTTGAATAAAACCTTGAAGAAAGACTTGCTCATGTGCCTACCTATAACTTACATGTAAACTAATGAACAACTTCAAACTTCAACAAAACCAAGTGAAGTAATTTAAAACTAAGCAAGCCCCTAATTCAGGACAGAAAAAGGTAAGAATAACACCCAAAAATAAGACCAGAAAATTAAAAAAAAAATAGCAACACAAAAGGGAAGATTAGGGGAACAACTATTCAATCTTCTGCATTTGGACTAGAAAAAAAAAAATCAATTGAACCATACACCATCCCACTTTTGGATAATTTATAGACAACATCAAATTGCAAGGCAAAAGGAGGATCCTACAAGTATGTCTATCTTACAGCAGTAATTTAGCCGAAATCGTGCACCAAACAAGTTGCAACACATTAAGGCCACGGACGAAATCAAGCAGACCGCCTACGAAATTATTTACAACTTTTTAATCCTGGAAGTGTTCTCACATCAAAGTAGTTGCCACTCATCTTCAGGTCTACCACCATCCGATTCACCTGGGCCCACAGCATCGAAGGAATCCAGTTCCGGAACCCCAGAATTACTAGTCACCCTGTCGTTATACTCAACTGCTGTTGGGGAGCTACGGGTTTCAGTTATAGTAAACAATGGAGCACCATTTGATTGATCCACTAACTTAGATGCTCGTATACAGAAATCATCAAAATCACCTACAGAAAAGTATACAGAAGTTAGGGGTCAAGAAGCGACTCATCTTAGCCATGGTAAAACAAGTGCAACGATTTCTGGAACAATTGGAGAAACACGCAGACGTACTTTTATCTCTACAATAAAATCCAATTGCCAAGGATGGATCAATTGAATCCAGAGGGAAATGCCTTAGAGTACTGCAATCGAAGTCAAAAGCTTATAATGTGATTAAAACTAGAAATGGAAATATCAGATGAGAAACTAGAATGAGTATTAGCTTACTTGCAGTGATAAGATGAAGTATCAATATCTAACTTGTCCGTTTTAATATCAACAACCTGCACATCAGACATATAATGAGAACGTTACAGCGGACATCCAGTGAACAACCTGCTCATCAGACAGATAAATCCACAAAAACTTCAAATATTAAAATCACCGGACAAACAAGATTACAAGCACCATAAAGACAGTTAACAAGTAAAATAGGTAGGAAAGCAGAAGAGCCAATCAAGAAAATACTCGTCTAATAGAGATGCGATTCCTTACCCGTCCCACTCGCCAAAAAAAAAAAAAAAAAACTAAATGGGAAAGCTCATACAGGGACCAATTAATTTTTTTGATTTGCATTTTTGGTGTTGCCGGAAAGTGAAACTAGAGGAGTCTGATGGATCAAAACCACTGAAATGAATATGCTGGAACATTTTAGAAATCCACCGAAAATAATGTCCCAAACCGAAATTTATGAAATTACATAGAAGGTTCTCCAAAAGGGGAAATTGACTAGCAAAGCTGTTCACAGCCATTGCAGATGACGATTAATCAACCGCACTAGCATTTCAGATGACGATAATCAAATATTGATCTTGGTTAATGCGGAGATGTTGAGGCAGCAGAAAATGGAACTTTGGGGGAAAAAACCCATGATGTCAAGAACCTAGGACGTGGAGGACAGAAAGATGTAATTTGGTGATTGTTTGTTATATAGCAGCTCTCCTGCTCCAGCATTAAGGCTAATATTTTAACCTGTAGAAGATTCTAAGAAAGTCCTCTAAAGCAGCGAGGATCTGTTAGAGAATATTCTACTCAAAACCGCATAGAAGTTTTTTCTAAGTAGGAGTCAAGAAAAGCTTTAAAAGAACGGTATGCTTTCAGGTTTCAGCAAACAGTAAGATCTCTTAAATCAACTTTAAAAAGCCGAATGATATTTTTCATTTGAGTGCTTCTTATACTATCCCATACTGAGT